ATAGAAATAAGAAATAGGTCACCTATAATTCACAACATGAGCAGAATATAGGCAAAAGCTAACTTTTTTGGGCAATATTTATATTTTTTTCCCTTTGTCTTTCAGAGACTATATTGTGGAACTGGCAGATGTTAAACGCACATATGATGCAATGAATCCAGTGCACTTGAGAAATGTTTGCTGGAAGAAATGAAGGGGTAGCAAGTCCCGAGGTGGGGTTCTCATTTGTCCTCTGGCTTCCGGATCCTACAGGGATTCGAGGGCTCCCCATGGGCCAAGGACCAGAGTTCAGAGGAACCAGCATGGGGTGGATGGTGCTGTGATGCTCCAGACTCGAGTGTTTCTTCCCGAGCTGATGGGCAGGTCTCCAGCCCTTGGCTGTCACCTGGGTATTACCCTTGCTCTCCCCCAGCATTAGAGGGAACAGGCAGTGCCAGCTCTCTCACTGGGAACTGTCCTTGGCTAAAGTGAAATGCCTCACCCAAGGACACACAAGGACTGGTCAATACTAGAGGACAAGAACCCAGATGCTTCTTGAAAACTTGACACAACTCTCTAGGGTCACGTGAGTTACAGTGCTCCCTGTGGGGAGGTCTTGTAGCTCTTATACCACATCCTGACCTTTAACTGTCCAATCCTGCTTCCTTCCCTTCCCTCAACGTGTCCACACGAAGAGTGTACTGGGCACACTGACCTGCAGTAAGCAGCTGCCAATGCAGGAGATACAAGAGACACGGGTTCAATCTCTGGTTTGGGAAGATCCCCTGGAGGAGGACGTGGCAGCCCACTCCAGTATTCTTGCCTAGAGAATCCCATGGAAAGAGAAGCCTCGCAAGCTACAGTCCATAGGGTCACAAAGAGTCAGACGTGACTTAGCACACATGCACACACTGGTCAAGAGGCTAAGAGGTCTCAGAGCCCAGGAGAGGCAGGATGGGTAGGTGGTACCAAGAGCAGAAGCAGGCAGCATCCAGAGCACAGGAAACCAGAGAGAACTGGCGTGCAGGTGTCACCTGAGTGCTCACTAAGCAAGGAAAGCTGCCTCTTGCCCACTGGGAACCCACCTGCGTGGGAAGGAGGTCCAGCAGGGGAGGCCTGGCTCTGAGCAGCGTCACTAGGCCATCCTGAAACCTGACCCGCCAACCCCCAAACCCGCAAACAAGAAACCACCTCCTGTTCCCCACATGCCAACAGGCCTCCATCTCCATAGGTTAACAAGTCTCTTTGTGGGCAGCCACCAGCCTGGAGAGGTCTAGATGACACTGGAAGGCTCCCTTCACTACCAAACACCTCCCCCTTCACCACCAAAAACCTCCCTCTGCCTCAGCCTCAACCAGGGAGCCTGATTTCCCATCGTCAGATATTTCCCTGGGATTAAAGGGCTCTGTTAAAACACAATGTCCTATTCATTAACATGAGATAACATACCAAGCCAGGGTTATTAACAGCTTAAACTAGTCTGCAGAGGCAAGAGAAAGAAATGAAAGGCTGAGATGGGAGACCTATGTAAGCCAGTTCTAGGTGGGATGCTTAGGAGGTGATGGGGGTGGGGGCAGGGCTGACATGGAGCACGTGGTTCAGAGGGCAACAGCAGGGGGCTTCCGGTAAAGGACAAAATCCCCCAATCCAACCATTCGCTCCCCAACGAAACCAGAAGTTGGTTATACCCTTGACCGGGCACATGATGTGGTACCAGGGCATCCTTGTGCTTTGCCTTGGTCTCTGACTCTCATGCCCCAGTTGTAAGAGCAGGAGAGCCTCCCATTAACAACAGGATTTACAAGTTTACTGAGAAGGCTCCAGACTCCCTCTAAGCTATCTCAGGTAATCAGGGGCCTTCTAGATCACATTTCATCCCTTGCAAATGGAAGCCATCAAAACAACTGTGTCAGGTCCTCAGTTGCAGCATGCAGGATCTTTTCATTGCAGCGCATGGATTCTCTAGCTGTGGCAGCGGCTTAGTTGCTCTGCAACATATGGGATCTTAGTTCCCTAATCAAGGATTGAACCCATGTCCCCTGCATTGCAAGGCAGATTCTTAACCACTGAACCACAAGGGAAATCCCTGAAACAGTTACTTTTGTTTTGAAATATTAGGCTGAAGTTATCTTTTCTACCCACTTATGCACTGGGAGGAATTCATTTCAATTCATGTCCAAGTTAGTCTAAAGATACGGTCTGGCCTCATTAGGACTGATCAGTTTTGGACATCTTTTTAAAATCCCGCCTTCTTCTAAAAGGGATGCCTCTTCCTAGAAAATTACTCCTCAAGTGAGTCCCAGTAACTGCCAGGAGTGTACAGCACGTCTTAGCCGTTAGGGTGGCAAAGCAGTTGAGAATCATTGCTGTAAAACACAGGGGTTCCCAGCCCCCTTGTAGCTAAGTCTCTTCTTCATGCTCTTACTCCTCCTGCTCCGTGGAAAAAGTTCTGAAACAATCCTGGCGGCCAGCAGTCCCAGGGCTGAGGTTTGCCCGTGATGAGTGTGTTTGTTGGCTTGCTCATTTATTCCTTTATTTTTACATGCAAGCATTTCCTCTGGGACTCTAACGCAGGCAACCTTTGAAAAATTCACACTTAAATCAGTCTCCCAGCACTTTTGTTTCTACCACATTAAGGAGTGGGTCCTGGCGTTCCCTCATCTGGCAGAAAAGACGTGGAAGTGTTGGCCTGGCTTTGAGATGCCCAGGCCCAGTAGGACACCGGACATGCTTCCAACTGAATGACCTGTTCACTGCTGAGCTAATGGGTTCTTTTCCAGGAGCGCTTTGGCACTTTTGGAAAATCAAGATTCAGAAAATGAATGCATGCACTGTTTAAAACTATGACTCTTCTTTTGCTACTTTATCTGCAGGTCCACCTTTTGCTTGTGTGAGTTCACCATGCAAGAGTTCTTGTGAGACATGCCAACTTAGAGAGATCAGAAATACAGGGCATATGTTATGTAAAGACAGATATATAGTATGGTGGGGGCGCATGGAAGCTGTATTAAGGGGTAGTTAAGGGGACAGGATCTGGAGACGGGTAAACATATAATGTAACTGCCCAGAGCCTCAGTTTCCCATCTGTACAATGGGCATAATGAGAATAACCACTTGTCTGGTGATAGCAAATACAATTACATTATACATATAAAAGGACTAGAATAGGGCCTGGTCTAGTGTGGGCAGTCAGGAAATGAGAGCAGATATCTCTCATGTGATTAAAAGGTTCAGGAGGAAATAAAGGAAGCAATTTCATTCTTAGCATCAACAGTCTAAATTCTTCAAATTATTCCCTGGATGATAATCATCTCTTAAGGAAACTTGTATTTGCATGTTTTTTGTGATCACACACACTTTTCAAAGAAACATATATTTTTAAAAAATCTACTGAAATGAAGTGGGCTTCCCTTAAAGGAATCTGTAATTGGAATATTTATACATGACTGAGAGGTAAGCAACCTCATTTTAAAAAAATCCTCTCTCTCCTACTGTTCTAATGCAACATTCCGAAAGTATCCAGTGAATACTCCAAGTCCTGGCACATTAGTGAAAAACGCCTGCAGTGTTCTCTTTTCAAAACTAACTGTGTTCTGGCCTATTTCCTCAAACTGTGAAAACGACTATGTCTAGAACCTTATAAGAAATCTATTAATACAAGTCTTGAAAAAAACTAAGAATGCTATCACGTATCAGCAGAATATTCCTGAGCAGAAGAAAAAGTTTCCCAAACTACAAGCATCCAGGAAGAATACTCACTGTTGGTAGGGAGAGATTAAATGGAAATTTCAAATGCCCTACTTTTGACCACAGGCTGATTATCAAATTGATGACCAAGCTTGGCATAAGAAATATTTGTATGAGGAGAAAATTTAACATTGAATACTTTAATCTGGAGGAGAAAAAAAAAGAGATTTGCCCAAAGCATTTGGAATTTTACAAAATTAAACCACCTCTTAGCTATGAAAAATGAAAAAGAAATAAAAGATAAGGGTATCACCACCAACACAGACATCAAGTTTAAATGTCAGGAAGGTAATTAGAAATTCAAGTTAGGTATAGCATCTCTGTTTTAATTGGACCATTAAAAATCCCACTTTAAGCTTTGTGGCAAAGAATGACCAATTCCAAGGGGAAAAAACCTTCTTGCCTTCAAATTAGTATGTTTAAGAAAGCAAGTGTAATTTTCAAATTACAACCTCACAATTAAAACAAAAAAGTTTATCTGGATATATTTGAATCGTAACTCTTGTTACAGAAAATTCTGTATTTGTAATTAGAGAAACATTTTAGAAGAAAAGGAAAGAAACATTTTCATAAAACCTAAGAGCATATTCAAGACCATTTGAATTTTGGGACACAATAAAGCACTATTGAACATCTTAGCGCAGCATCTTTCACGCGAACTCATGAGAACAACTACACATGACGGGATGTAAGCAGTTTGATAGGAGGCACCAAACTGTTAAGTCATCACCTGGGGAATTTGATGGGATTAGAAACATTTTTGCAGCCTGGAGCATCCCTGCACATAAGCATGTGCTTCATCATGTGAAATCACCAAATCGCTCTGTGGGAAATCTCATTGTTTCCATGGCATATTGAGGCGTTACGAAATCAGGAACAAATCCAACTTCTCAACAGTGCTCTGGATTAAAAGACGCCTATGTTCAAATGAATTCTAACCCACGGCCATGGTTCCTACTGAGATTCTAAGAACAAAGGGGAAAAAATTAAGGACATTTAGCATCGCTGTTGAGTATAAGGTCAATAAAGTACTATTCATAAAATGGTTGAATTTAGACCTTGAGATTCTTTGAGCAATAATTTGTTACTCTGATACATTCCAGTTAGTCTTACTTTGCAAAAGAGGAAACAAGGAATAATAAAATAGAAAACATTTCAGTGTATTTTTAAATTCCACTGATACACAATAAACTGAAACATGACAGAATGCTCTACCCCCTTTGCATTCAGGAAAAAGCAAAGCTTGCATTCACCTCTGCCCACCAGACACTTACATCGTATCCACTGTTACGGATCCCACGCCGGGGTCGCTCCCGAGTTACCAGAAGGTCCATCTCTGTTTCCCCTGGACTCGGGCTGTTCAGAGATTGCCGGCTCCGGTAGACAGAGTTCTTCATCTGTTGCCTGAAGAAAATTCAACAACTGTTATGATGCAGCAAATACCCTGACAGATGGAATTCTCCACTGATCCAAACTACAGGCAACCAATGAAGCCTTTGGATTTGCCTCGCGAATCTCAGAATTGATGGTATTTGTTCCCTGGCCATCAGGAACTGTAGAAAGAATGGAATAAAGACTCCCCCCACCCCCAACCAGATGCTGTAACCATTTGACTGAATTGTAAGTGCCCTGTGGTATGGAAACTGGGTAACTCTAATCAATTGCATCACTGCAACCTCATCTAAAATTCTGCTGACGGCAAGACCAGGGACTCTCCCTTGACCCTCTAGGAAGTGAACGCTGCAAGAACAAACTTGCTTTTGTTGGCTTTGTTGACTTAGCAGCCTCCTACTTCTTTTCACCTTTCTAATTTCACATGCAGGATTCCATGATGTGTCAACAAACACTGTGGATAATAAGCTTCTTAAACACGGCTGACGACAGATTTTCTTTTCTACCTTCATCACAGTGGATTCCCTTCTGGGCTAAGGAGCCATGAACCGCAAGGCAATAGGGGGCCCATGCATCCACCCATCCATTACTGAGTGGCTAAAATGTACCAGGTAGGGTGGAAGAGGATGAGGATCCACAATGAGATAGACACAGCCCTGTTTTGCTGAGCTTACATTCTAAAGAGGCAGATAGACAGTGCACCTGGTAATTCCCAAAGTAATAAGGGTGACAGATAGTGACTAGGATGTGGGGTGACTTTAGATAGGAGGGTCAGGGAAGGCCTCTCTAGAGAGGTGACATTTCGTGAACACAGCCAGCCACATATCAACCTGGACACAGAGCATTTCAGGCCTAGGAAGTTCACTTCAATTAATTTCAGTTAGTTTACAGTTATGGTCTAGCCTCATTAGGACTGATCAGTTTTGGACATCTTTTTAAAATCATGCCTTCTTCTAAAAGGGGTGCTTCCTCCTAGAAAATTACTACTCAAGTGAGCCCCAGTAACTGCCAGGAGCGTGCAGCCCCTTATAGCTGTTAGGGCGGCGAAGTGGTTGAGAATTATGGCTGCAAAACATGGGGAGGGAGATGGGAGGGAAGTTCAAGAGAGAGGGGACATATGTATATCTATGGCTAATGCATGCTGATATTTGGCAGAAAACAACAAAATTCTGTAAAGCAATTATCCTTCAATTAAAAAATAAATAAATTAAAAAACACACACAGGGATTCCCAAACCCCTTATAGCTTAAGAGTCTCTTTCGCATGCCCTTACTCCTCCTGCTCAGTGGAAAAGTTCTGGAACAATCCAGGCTTCCATCAGTGCCAGTGACATCATTTGCCCATGATGAATGTCTTTGTTGGCTTGTTTATTTATTCCTTTATTTTTACATGCAGGCATTTTCTAGTGCCCTGACCAGGGACTGAGGTTCACATGTTCAGAGGCTCCACCCAGCTCATCCTAGGAAACACATACTTTTGTCATCACTGTTTTGTTTCTACTTGTCCTTAGAGGAATCTTTTTCAGGAGGGGGAAAGAACCAGTAACAGTGAGGGCTGTGGCTGTGCTTTTCTTTTTGCACAGGAGGCAACTCAGGAGTGATGACTTTTTTGCAGGGTTTTATTCTGCAAAATTTGCAGGGTTTATCCCATATGATCTTGCAGGGTCTATCCCACAAAAGTAGGATAAAATCACTGGCTACTTCCCTCTCATCCAACAGTAAGTTTTTCTCTGTAAATTATTTGCATTTCAGAGCATCTGCCTTCAGAGAACTCCCCTATTTAGTGTTTTGGTTCTAAGATTCTATCCATTTGTGAGTTCGAGGTACAGAGGTTGTGTTATTGTCAGTGACTATGGAAGAAACCTGGGAGGTAAAGATACCTTTTCATGACCCCATACCCAGTTAGTCAGAGCATGACATTCACACACTGCTAGTCTAGAACAGACATCAGAACCCCAAGGGCAAGACCCCACCCTTGCAATTGATCTAGGGAATAAAACATACACTATTAGACTGACTCCCTCACCAAGAGGAGCTTACACCTGTTTAGAGAGCCTCTGTGGTCTTTGCTCATCTGGCACCAGGACAAGCCTCTTTAGGTAAGGGCACTGGGATGGCCAGCTTTTCTCCAGGGATAGGCATGTGACACAGGCCAGATAATCACGGCATCACAACCCCATGGCCATAAGAACTAGTCAGAGAGTGGGCACATGAGCTGATCAAGTGCGACTAAATTTCAAGGCTTTTGCTACAGCAACCAGGAAAGAGGCATTCTCTTCGCATTGAGGTTTCTAAGAAGAAAGGATATAAGCCTAGAGTTGCTGGCAGCCAGTTTGCCACTATGAGGTAAGAACCTGCCTGAAAAGGAGCCAGTAAAAGTGAAGAAACAAGATAAACGTGGAAATCATTGTATGACCTCTTCGATCTAGCCATGCTTGAAGCCTTGGCCTGTTCACTGGTAAAATTTCCCCTTTATTGAGCCAGTTTGTGTTGGTTTTCCATTATCTGCAACCAAAAGAATCCTGACTAATATAGGAGCTTACCACCTAACGTTATAAACTGTGCCCTATAGCTATATGCAAATAGAGGCGTCCTCTAGGAAAGGAGCACAATCTTGTGAAACAGAATCTGTTCTGAGTGACTCATACTTTAAGGAAGACCCCAAAGAATTCTTTCCCTTGACCCAATTACAAATCATTCTTTGAAAAAGCCGACTCCATAACTGTCCTGAGATTGCCAATTAACCCATTTAGAAAAGATTTACTAATAATGGTGGTGGAGGAGTAAATACTAGGATTAGCAATTGACATTTAAGTAGGTTATTTTGGAAGTATTAGAAATACAATAGTGAGACTGTATAAGCCCTTTCCAGAACCTTGAATGTGGGTGCGCCCTTAGACACTGGCATATCCTCCAGTCTCCTTTTCCTTCAGACAATGTTCCATTATATACAGCTTAAAGGCTGCTGTTTAACATGAATCTCAATTAATCAGGCTACCAATGTGTGCCTACAACTACTCTGAAACTTGCAAAATTGAGGTGTAAGTTTTTTAACCTCTGAAAATATTGCTGGGAGGAGGAGGATGGATTTCATTTGGATTTTTTAGGAGGTTTGGATCAACCACTATAGTTTAAGAAAGTAGTTCCTGAGCACTGTGCTCTGTGGAGCCCTAGGGTTCCACAAAGATGGACTAGAAGGAGGAGGAAGAAGAGGAGGGGAAGGGGAAGAGGAGGGAGAGGAGGTCCTGCTTCTACCAGAGTAACTCTGTCTTTACAGGTTATCGCCTTAGGTTGGGTTCCCCCAGAAGTAAGCTCTGTGATGATCTAGGTAGAAGTGGTTTATTTGGGAGAGGCTTCCAGGAAGCACAAGTTGAGAAGTGGGAAAATGAGAGAGGGAAGGGAAGTAAGCCAATAAAGAATATGGTCTAGAGCAGATCAATGTCTTGGGCATCCGGGGCTCAAACTTACTGGAGAAGTGTGGGAGATCACTATTTTAAAATGTAGGTTTCATTGTTATTCAGGTATGGTAAACTCAACAGATCGGGGGATGGCTGCCATCGAAGAGACGGCTTGTATACTCACTGATGCCAAGAGAAAGGGGCATGTCACACTATGGAGGGCCACGCGGGAAGCACCAGGGTCAGTCACAAGGCAGGGGGAGTGCAGGGAGAATGCGGGTAAGAGCCTTTATTGTGGTTTTCATGGGAAACAACTGGAAAGGGGTGATGTGGGCAGGGAGATCAGGGGCCCAGACTGCCAGAGCCCCTGTGTGTAGGAGGCAGCTGGGGTCTGAGTTCTAGCTTGCTCAGTTTGTGCGTGATAGGTGCACTTGCAGAGGAGAATTACTGTCCCAAGGAACTGGCAACCCAGCCCCGGGAGGGGCAGTTTCTCCAGGGGCCAGACCTCAGATGTCAAATCATCAAATACAGAAACCAGAAAATGTGGTTATGAGAACAGTGTAGAGTTCTCTTGCCAGGGGTATTTATCCATCAGTTCCCATCTGTCACGGACTGCAGCTGCTCCAGAGCATATTAACTACCTGACACTTCTGCTTGGGGACCTCGTATCAGAGTCACAGATGTTCGCAGCAAGAAGGACGCTGCTGGCTTACAGGAGGGCTGAGGGGACATGGAGGGGGCCTCTGATAGCACCTGCCTCAGTTATATTATGTACCTTGCATCTCTGAAGACATGAAGAGTTTATAACATAAAGATGGGGGTGTGCTCTGACTTAAAAAAAGCTGTGAAAACTCTTTGAAAGGATATCAGGATGAGTCAACATTTGGAATCTAAATTTTCATTTGATTTATTTAGCTCTCAGGGTAAGCTTCTGGTTATTGACGCTATCTCTGGCCTAGAAAACGGGTTCCTTACTCGTGCCTTGCCGGGGCTGGCCACTGAGAGCAGAACCTCTAGAGAGCGGAACTGTGAATGGTAACTAAGAGGTATGTCTCACCTGTGATAACAGGTAACATACAACGGGCAGCAGTGGACAGTGCCTGGAGTCAACAGCAGAGTGTGACAAGGATAGTGCCCGAGGGACTTCCCTGGTGGTCCAGTGGCTATGAGTCCGTGCTCCCAATGCAGGGGGCCTAGGTTATATTCCTGGTGTGGGAACTAGAACCCACATGTGCAACTAAGCGTTTGCATGTGGCAACTAAAAATCCCTCATGCGGCAACTAAGATCCAGTGTAACCAAATAAATATCTTTTAAAAAGAAGAATAGTGTCCAAGAGCTTACTAAGTCTCTTTCTCGACATTAATCTTTCTCTTCTTGTCATCTCTTGCTGATCTCATCTCCCTTTCCACCCCCACCCCACCTGATTTGTGGTTATCTCTAATTTTCCCTAAACTGATCACATTTTTTAAATTAAATCCTTTTTTCAACATTTACTAAGAATTGCCTGTATACTCCCAGCATCAGCAGGCCAGCAAAAGGCCTTAGAAAACTGGCCTGACCTTTTGTTAGGAAGTGGAGATGCACCTCTTCAGAAAAATATTTTGTTCATTCTCCTTATAAAATGTCTTCACTGAAAACTGTATTTAACTCTCAAATAATTTCTAAACTAAGTTCCGCACACTTGTAGATGATTTTTGATTCATTTTCCAAATGTCAGCAGGAAACCCAGGAAAAAATAAATCCCCACTCAAGTCTATAAAAGACCCCTGAAGTAAAAAGTCCCAAAGTGTGAAGTAAAAGCCAAAGACGCCCCCAGCCTCACAATAAAATCCACAGATGTCCTTCCCTTTCTTCTACGGTTATCAACATGGGGGTACGTGCGCTGTGATCCCTTCACGGTGTGATTTTACACCAACAGCTTGTTGTCCCCACCAAGCCCAATAAGAAGCCTGGAAAATGAGGCACTGGCTTAGAATTCCCTCTTTTCATTATTAAAAATAAATCATGAAGATTCCATTCATAAAATTTAGTTCCCACTCCCAGCTTGACTATGTGGCTTCCATCTAGGCCCATCACATAGTTATTTTGGCTTTTAATAAATACCCACTCAGTCCAGGAACCACCCTGTCCTCCCCAAGGGCCTGTCTAGAGGCTGTGTCTGTGAAGGCTGTGGTTTGGGTTGGAGCACTGGCAGCTCAGAGTAAAGGGGTAGCTGCCACGGAGAACGTGTGTTTGGAAGAGTTGGTCTCAAGTCATGAAAATGCTTCTAGGGGAAGTGCCTCAGAGGGGAAGGCAAAGAAGAGAAGTGGGTCTATCGAGCTTTGCTGACATTTACCCCTTTTCCCTCAGATGGTAAAGAAACTGCCTGCAATGTAGGAGATCAGGGTTGAGTCCTTGGGTCAGGAAGATACCCCTGGAAAAAGGAATGGCAACCCACTCCAGTGTTCTCGCCTCGAGAATTCCATGGACAGAGGAGCCTGGTGGGCTACAGTCCACAGAATCACACCTGACTGAGTGACTAACACACACACCCCCCTTTTCCTAGTAGGTGAAGCCACCCCCTGCTGAGTTAGCAGCAAAGCTTAGAGGGTTGCCAGTTTCAACCACCAGGCCTACCCCTCCTTGCCAGGGCAGGCCTGCCTTTTAGGCTGAGTATCTCACATTTCAAACACCCGTCACACTTGTGAGTAAGAAACTCTTGGGTTCGTCTTCTCTCCCATTAGGCCTTAAGTTCCATAAAAGCAGAGACTGGGCTGTTCAGTCCACCATAAAATATTGAATGAATGAACACATGACCATGATAGTATTCAGCATCATGCCTGGTGCCCAATACAGAGCAGGAGACAATAAATGTCAAATGGACAAGTCTATGAATTAAAGACAGGAACCCAGCAGGGAGACTGGAGTAGCTGTGCAGTAAATATTGATTGAAGCTGAATCAAAAGGTGAGGCATGGAGTCTGTTTTTCTTATGCAAGAGACACTAAAATTATTGATGAATACACTGTCCCTTGATCTGGAAGTTGAATAACCAGGTGGGTGATAATTATATGTGAACCCAGCTCTGAAACAGCTACAGATTTGAAAACATCATTAAAAGCTAAGGGACAATTATGGTTGTTTGCATAAGTGTTGTTTTTCAGTGGCTTTAATTTTATTCTCTTCCAGACTCACTGTGGAACTCCTGCTTGTACAGACCAGTGCGGCCCAGACCAGCAGCCTGCAAAGATGACAGTCCTCAGGCGACAAATAGAACCAGAGGCCTGGACGGTACTGCCGGAGGCACCCCCCGCCGTCATCCCACCAATGGTACAGCGACCCCCGGAGAATCCCTTAGGAACTGCACCTGTTTTTAGCCTCGGTGAACGGGGCACACAGTTCTGGGTCTGGATCCAAGACGTGCTCAATTTCCTTTGGTGCTTTTTCATACATCTTTTTCCTTTCCGTCTGAGCCTTGCTAGCCTCCACCGGGGGGAAGTCGTAGTAACCCTTCCTCTTGGCTTTGAGGCGCAGCTTGTTCCGATAGTGTTCAATGTCTGACTTCTGCTTCAGGGCTTTGTTCACCTGGGGAGAGAAACAGTCTCATCATGCGTGGTACCCAATACACAGCCGGGGACAATGACTGTCAAGTGAATAAACAAGCCTATGGCCATTTAGCTGATGTCCACCTGGATAAGACCACCAGTTCTTGAAAGGCTAGAGTTGGGATGAATGGGGTGGGAAAGAGGAGTAGACATCCTGCTTGCAAGTTCTCCTCGCTCTATCAACCTGCACTCGAAAGCTTATTTTTGTCAGTCTATAGCTTTGTTATTGTTTATTTGTTCAATTATGTCTGCTCTTTTGCAACCCCATAGACTGTAGCCCACCAGGCTCCTCTGTCCATGGGATTTTCTGGGAAAGATTACTGGAGTGGGTTACCATTTCCTCCTCCAGGGGATCTTCCAACCCAGGAATCGAACCCATGTCTCCCTGTCTCCTGCACTGCAGGGACATTCTTTACTGCTAGGTAATTTTGAAGGCTTGCATGGCCATTATTGCCAACCAGTTCCTGCTCACCTGTCAAAGATACAAACGGATGACTGCGCTAAATAAATTAACAAATGATATGAAGGAAGATGTTATGCCCACAAACAGAGCTGAATGGTGAAACCTGCCTGATACTTACTGAACAATATGGAGAACCACTGGAGCTGTGTGCAGTCAGGCTTGACTACATTTGTATAATCATGTATAAAGTAGAGAGCATTTTCATAGCTAAGATTTCAAGGAACAATCATGGAAAGGCTGGTAAGTGTGGGGATGACTTCCACCTGGCAGATGAGGAAACTAAGAGTCAAAAAAGCTAAGTTAGTAAAGCAAAGAGTTGGGACCCCTAGTGAACTAAGAGCTCCGCTTACAGATTCTGTGCTGTGCCATCACTGTGGTGACTTACGTGCGTGATGTCTTCTTAACCTTCATGACAACCCATAATCAGGGGTGGGGTCAGGGTTTGACCTTGGACAGACTTTGTCAGAGTTCAGAGTCTGCACATTTAGCTGCTAAATACCCTGCCCCTCAGGATGAGAAGACAAAGTACAGAGGGTCCAAGGTCTAAGCCCCTGGACTGTAGATTCTGCCCAGGGAGTGGCTGGGAGCTGGGGTTGGTGTGGGCTTGCCAGAATTGGGGCTTTCCATTTGGAAGATGCCCAAGGCAGTGGTCAGTCAGCAGAGCATTGGGGCTGCATGCAGAGCTGGCAAAAATCCAGAGGCCCAGACCTGCTGAATCAGAATCTTCAAGAGTGGGGCTTGGGCATCTGTAGTTTGCAAAAGTCCCAGAGCTGACTCTGGTCCCGTACCTGAGTGAGAAACCTCTGGCACTGATCAGTGGTTTCCAAATTATATTCTGTGGATTTGTGGAAGATCAGTAGAAAATCTGAGAGTTAGGAGTCTTGCCCTCCAAAAGCCAATACACAGCTATTTTCATATTGCTTTAGCAAGCCTAGGGACCTGGGCTAAGCACTGCTGCCCGAGGGCTCCAGGAGGGTCCTCAGGAGACAGGGAAGCAGAGGGACAGCCAGAAGACCAGGCTGAGCTGCTGGTCCTCGCTCCCGGTCAACAGAGCAGCCGCCCACCGTCCGTCTGCTGTCTGTGCTGAACTCCCACCAGACAGCGCGGCTGAAGAAAGGGTTAGAGGGTGAGAGAAGGCGTAAGGCCCAGCGGCCTCAGAAGCTTGAGTTCGGGTCCCCAGGTCAGGCTCCGCTGAGCTTCTGAAGACTCGTGAGAAGTACGGAGGCGGCGAGGCCAGGGAGGCCAGGAGGAACTGCCTGGAGGCCCCGGGGACCCGGCAGAGGAGATTCCTTACTGCTGCAGCCAATGCCAAGGGAGGAAGAGGGGCCGGGGGGTACAGCTGTCCACCCCCTTTGTGTCCCCCCTGCACCTGAAAGTCCCCCAGGCAGCAGGGTCCAAAGCCTGGAATTCTGCGCTTCCAGCCATTGGACCCATGAGTCCCTGACTCACCGTCCACGCTGCTGATGACACTTTAGATTAAGCTCTTTTTCTTCTTAAGTCTCTTCTATTTGGATAATGAACTTAAAATCTGCTAGGACATCAGGACTCCAAAAACTAAGGCTGGTAATACTACCTTCTGCAGAGGGAACTGATTGCTCCCCTCTGTCCTCCGGGTCCCCCCGCTGCCATAGGGACGCACGAGAGCAGGGTCCCCTCTTGAGCCAAACTTAAGTAAGTTTGCCAGCAAAACAGGGGAAGAATCTCCTTTTAAAGTCAATCTCTCTCTCTCACTCGTTCCCAACTCTTCACGAAACATTGACCAGAGTTCACTGGGTTTATATGCAAACACCCTTGGGAGGATAATTCTGTTGCTTTCAGTCATTTACATTTTAATGATGGTGTGGCATAAAGCTGGGGCTAAGGGTATAGGTTCTGGAACCAGACCACTGCCTGGGTTTAAATCCCAGCTCTGTCTTTCCCTAGCTGTGTGACCCTCGGCACATTACTTAACTTCTCTGTGCCTCAGATTCTTTCGATGTAAGAGGCAGATACTACTACTGCCCTCACGGAGCTGTTGTGAGGATTGCAGGAGTTCACACACATGGCATGCTTGCAATATGGCCAGGCACTGGGACCAACTCTAAAACAGGCTATCTATTTTACATATGGGAATGAATATGTTTCTACACTACTCTCTCCACTTATTATGAAGATTTTTGTATGAAGAACAGAATGTAAAAATAATTTCATTATGTCTTTTGTATATTGAAAAAAATAAACATTATTACCATTAATGTGGGTTGTGCAGGGTTCATTTTCATCAAAGACTAAGGGAAAGGGAGGGAGTCTGACAGAGACAAGGGGAAGGGAAATGAGTAGCTTTCGGAGCACAGAGCACTAAGGTGGGTAGGCTTGGGTGGAATGGGGCAGTGGTGGGGGCTTTGGACTGAACAGCATGGGTGCAGCACTTTGGGGGCCGGGGGTTCAGGGGAGGGGCAGGACGAAAAAAGGAAGGCAGACAGGCCACGTCTACCCTGCTCTCTTAGAATGTCCCTGTTCCTTCTTGCCCATCGGAGTTACCCTGGTTCTTTTTTCTGGCTCTAGTTTCAAGAAGGAAAGAGGAAGGGGCAATCCAGCTGCAAGAAGCAGCTGTGACAATATAAACCAACAGCCAGGGGCTTTGAGGATTAGACACAGCACTAGCTGGGTCTGGTCAACAAGTAGTGGTGAGAGTGTGGTGCTTTAGGAAAACCCATCCACGCAGCTAGCTCAGAAGCCAGGAGCCTGAGCACCTAAATATATCCCATCCTCTAGGATAAACTCCCAAATGCCCAGGACATGGTTCAGTATGCAAGCAGAGATTCCAGTCCTGACACTTTCCACTGCTAGGTGAATCTAGCAATGTTCTCATCCAGGGGTAAGATACATGTCAACAGATGTACAAAGCCAGGGGTTCACCAACATGAGGCTACATGTTATGTAGCTGCTTTACTTTTACAAGGTTTAAAGAAACAAACTGAGGAATATATTTTTTCTAACTCTTGCAAAGATCTCCCCAACCTGGGTCCTGATGGTACTTTTAGGCTGGCAGCATCTCACAAGTCTTTAATTGTTCCCTCATTCCACTTGCCACTGAGAAAACCAGCAAAGAAGCTAGCATGACATCCTCTGAGCCAGGAATCCATTTCTGGAATCCCTTCCTAAGATGACACTCCAAGAGAATTTCAAAGTCAGAGATGAAAGTTAACACTGTCAGTAATCAGACATATCAGTATCAGGTACTTCTTGATTCCATGCCCAGGAAGGGGCACATCATTCCCATGGATATGTGAAAAATTCATAACCTCAATCCAATCATAAGGAAACACCAGACAAATCCAAACTGAGGGACATTTTACACAGTAACTGGCCAGTACGCTTCAAAGGAATAATAGTCATGAAGAACAAAATGGTCACAAAGGATGGAAGAACTCTCCCAAACTTGAACTACCCCAAACTTGTTTGGGAGGAGACTCAAGAGACAATTAAATGCCACATGAGACCCTGGATTGGATTATAGAACAGAGAAAGGACATGAGAGGAAAACTGGTGCATTTCAAATGAGGTTTGCACATTATTCAACAGTATTGCACCATTATTATGTTCCTGGGCTGGATCATTTTTTTATAGTTACACGAGGTGTTCATATTAGGGGTAGCAGGTAAACAACTAGCTGGATAAAGGAATTCTCTGTACTATTATAGCAACTATTTTGTAAATCTAAAATTATTCTCAAAATAAAAAGTTTCTGTAAGTCATACATGAAAACTAAAATCAAAATATACCTTGTTTGGACAATGGGAGAGTAGTTTCCCAATCAATGGTGCACTTACTCAATCAAGACATTCACAGCGATTGTCAGAAAGACAATAGCAACACAGCCAATGCTCAAGATACAAGATATAAGGTGGTCTGAATATGATAATGATTCTAAAATATACACGAGTTTGAGCAAAAGCTTGAAGAGAAAGTGGAAAACATGAAAACATGTTAGGGTAGTGAAATTACAGTGGTCTTTCTTATTTTCTGAATTTTGTATGCTGTTATTTTGTTTGCTTTAAAATAATCTTTAAAAGAATTACCTACAATTCATAAAAAGAAAATTTATGGCTTTGAGGCTGTGTTTTCTTCACTTAAACAAGCTGCCTGTAAGAGAAGGAGGAAGATGATAAAATAATCTGTCTAAAATGTCACAAGGCAGCAAATTACAGAGAACAGTTCAGGGCTCTTTTTCACTCCAGATGACAGCAAGGTCTATTCCTTCAACTACCAAAATGTGACACGTATACATTTCTGGACTGGGAGAATGCTCCTCTGTTCTCCTGTGACAGTGTGATGGGTCTGGCTGAAAAAGAGAGTGGTAAGTTAGATTTAGCCGACATGGAATCTGTCCCCATGCCATTCACATTGCTAAGCTGGGATGAAAAGATCCAGGCACGGCGGCCGTCTCCTGAGTCCATACTGGGTAGAGAGTCTTAGTGAGGAATAGTTACCAGTGCATCAGTGATAAACTCAGAGGCCTCCGATCTGGGGCTTGAGTGTCCAGTGGCAGAACTGGGCCCAGGGAAAGATTCAGTGGCTGTGATTGGCTTTGAGAAGGTATATAGGTTCCCAAATTGTAGGGCCTAAGGGCATTAAGTACTAGATCAATGAATCCTGGATGGTTAGCTGACTAATGATGAAGCATGCTGAGTCACTCAGTTGTGCACGATTCTGTGACCCTATGGACTGTAGCCCTCTAGGCTCCTCCGTCCATAGGCTTCTCCAGGTAAGAATACTGGAGCGGGTCACTATTGCCTACTCCAGGGGATCTTCCTGACCCAGGGGTCAAACCTGCTTCTGCTACATCTTCTGCATTGGCAGGTGGGTTTTTTACCACTAGCACCACCTGAAAGTTAACGGTGATGATACTGTAATAACATATTTGTTGTATGCTAGACAATATTTATGTGCTTTCTGCATATTAACTCATTTGATCCTCACAACAGTTCCATTGTACAGATAGAGATACTGAGGCACAGAGAATTTAAGCTGTTGGTAATGGACAGGGAGGCCTGGCGTGCTGCGGTTCATGGGGTCACAAAGAGTCGGACAGGACTGACCGACTGAACTGAACTGAACTGAACTGAAGGTCATGCAGATATTAAGTAGAGGAGCCAGGACTCACATTCTTGCAGTGTGGCTGGAGAGTCCATACTCTTTCAAACAAAGCACTCTTCTTTACTGATGGGCCACAGTAAGTCAAAGAGAGGGAAGGAGTGCTAGATAGGGAGCCAGGGGACCTGATCATGCTGTCACAATAACCCGCAGTGTGACTCTGAGCAAACCACCTGAGCCCTCTGACTTCCATTTCTTTGTCTGAAAAAAATGAGGAGGTTGGCATACAAGTGCTCTATGAGTCCACAGCCAGTTAAGATCTTTCTATTTTTAATTAATTATTTATTTATTTTTATTTTTGGCTGCCCTGTGCTGGCTGTGGGAGCTTAGTTCCCCAACTAGGGATCAAACCCGGGCCCACATAAGTGAAAGTGTCAAGTCTTAACCACTGGACCTCCAGGAAATTCCCAGTTAAGTTTCTTTTTAAAACTGATGAACATCAACTCATCACCCCTCTAGGCAGTTCAGTCTCTCTGCCCAGAAAACAGAAGGAGCTTCCTGGATCAGGTCTGTAACAGGATTTCTCACGTGGCCTGGATGGGGGATGTAGACAAGCCCTGAAGTGCATTTACAGGACCCAGCTGTATGGGGTTGCGGTATGTTCCTCAAGGTGTGGTGGGAAACAGCCTTTGAAGCTTAGGAAATCTCCCACCCAGTGAAGGTTAACCATAGCCGGCCAGCTATAAACTAACGAAGTGAACAACCAACCTGTTGAATGATAACAGAGAATAACAATGAAATTACGTGTGTGTGCACGCATGTGTGAGGTATTCACAAGGACATTCTATGAGCATGGCCTTCAGGGATCATAAATATCTTCAGCCCCCTGACCATTCTGCTGCAGAAGATGGAGAAATGGCAGCTAATTTTTACCCAATTTACTCTTGTTCTCCCCTAAACTGCCTCTATCTATCATCTGTCTATCTCCATCCACCCATCCATCCATATGTTTTTCTTTGGTGAAATCTTTATTCTCTGATGCAGAGTACTAATCTTTTTAAGACAGGAAAATTGACTAACACCATGCTATTTATTGATATTCCTCCTGGAAGCACGCAAAGCTTGCTCGAAGGAATAAGTCATTTCAAAGTCTATGTAGTGGGCCACATTCCCTGTCCATATCTCCTCTGGTGCCCTATCAATTCCAGCTCTCTCCATCCCCACTGCCACAGATACCCCATCATGACCACTTTAGTGGTGTTATCAAGAAAGGAAGGAGGCTCTGTGAGTGAGGGGTTAGGGAAGCAGAATTTTAGATGTTTCTCTTCATAATGACAGTTTTTAAAAAAGTTCCCTATGGGCTTTCTGGCCTGGAGAATTCCATGGACTGTATAGTCCATGGGGTTGCAAAGAGTTGGACACGACTGAGCAACTTTCACTTCACTTCATTTCATGGACTTTCTGATGAAGGTGGAAAATGCTCCAAAAACAGCACTAAACGAACTAGTTTGGGGTGACCAGTGTCCTGATTCGTTCCACTGAGGCCCGCACGTGCAGAGGTAAAAATGACCCACACAGCCCCATACACCTGCACCTGGGGCCCCCAGGGGCCCCTCCTTGGTCCACATTCACAGAGGCCTGGCTGCACCCGCTCTCTTCCGCTCTGTCCTGGGGTGCTCACCTCGCCGTTGAGGACGGCCGGCTCCTGGCTCCTGTCTGAGGTGGGGTGCGCCACCGGGAGGGCTGTGGGTTTTATTCCAATGAGTTGCACAGACCCAGAAGACGTGTCAAAGGGATCCACAGCCGCCTTGCCAGAGTTGTCAAAAAGGACCACTCCTTCCTCTTCATCACTCGCCGGCACTAAAGCAAAACATAAACACATTGATTTTCTGTTGTAGGGGAGCTGCGCCATCGTGGGGGAATGTATGTCAGGCTCACAGCCTAAGGACATCATTTTACTCAAAATGACCTCAGGAACAACAGCGTCTGGTTCGGTGCCAACGGCTCACTGCTGCTGGTGACTTTCTCTTAAAATTTACTATCTATACTCTTCACTCCACACTGGTTTGAATTTAAATGGCAAAACCATTCCTTCAAAACTGTGACAGAACACATTTGTGGGGAAAAAAATGTTAATTTGTTCTCTATATTTGAGTCGGAGATGGGGAAAGTGCCATTTGGCCAAACTTGGTAGCTATTCTTAAAATGTGATAATCAAGACAATAACAGCATTCAGTTTAGTCTCTGCCACCAAAGCCACCCATTCTGGCATTGTATAAAGGTCATGAGTCTTCCTTGGTCAACCAGCCACAGTAATTGCTGCTGAAACTTTTTTCCCCCTAAAGATGGTTTCTCAGTGACTAAGGTTTTGGTTTCTCTCATTTGTCTAAAATGAAAGAAAGCTAAAAAATAACCACTGAGATATGAATTTAAAGCTACAGAGAAAGTCACTCAGTCATGTCTGACTCTTTGCAACCCCATGGACTATACAGTCCATGGAATTCTCTAGGCCAGAATACTGAAGTGGGTAGCCTTTCCCTTCTCCAGGGGATCTTTCCAACCCAGGAATTGAACCCAGGTCTCCTGCATTGCAGGTGGATTCTTTACCAGCTAAGCCACCAGGGAAGCCCTTAAAGCTATGGACAATTCCCCTAATTACCTAGAGCGATCTGCACCTACACTCTGTTAAACTGATGCTCCCCTCCGACAGAGGGTTCTGCTGCAATTGCTGAATGACAGCCATCTGCCTTGTGTGTCCATAGATAGGCTGATGGAGAATGTTCCAGGGCCAGTGGTACCTTGCTGATTTACTTAAAGCACATTCCCATTAAATAACTATACGAATGACAGTTTACTAAGCATGGCTCGGCAAGAGATAAATGAAGCCTGTTCAAACAACCAACCCAGTAAGCAACTTAGGGGCAAATAGGTGTTATATAAAATATGAATGTAATAGAAGTGTATTCATCTTTCCTCCTGTCTCACAAGATTGTGATGTCATTTAAATTATTAAGAAACACATAGTTTGTGTCATTCTGTCACTTATCATAATCACAGAAGATTTGTCAAATTAAGCCAAGTAAATTGCTATTTTTACAAAAGTGGTTAACACTCCTCATAGTCTAACCATGGGTTATAGCTGGAATATTTGGGGGTTCTGTGGACTTATTTGTAAATAGCAGGTCACCAATGAGCCAATGACAGAGGAAGATCTTTATTCAGATGTGTTACCAGATGCATATATCATTTTAGAATGTAGTTTTGGCAGGCAGTTCTTGCTTTCCCACCATTATCTCCCTCCCAGACAACTGCTATGAAGTTCAAGATTGCATCAAGATGAGCTAGAGTATCCAAGATGCACTCCAAGATGGCACCAAGTAATTCTTGCCTCATAGTCACATAGGACTAACCTGTGTAACAAATAGGTAATTGCAGAAATGACAATGTATCGCTTCCAAGTCTAGGTCATTAAAAAAGTATTGTTGCTTCCACCTTGCTCTCTCTTGGATTACTTCTTACTCTAGGGGAAGTCAGCTGCCATGTTTATGAGACCACTAAAGTAGCCCTATGGAGAGGTCCATTTGGCAAGAAATTGAGACTCCTGCCAACTAATATAACAGTGAACCATCTTGTAAATGGGTTTGGTCAGGCCTTTTGGTGGTTACAGCTCAGCCCAACATTTTGACTGCAACCTCGAGACACTCTGAGCAAGAATCACCCAATTAAGCCATTCCTGAATTCCTGACCCACAGACATTATGTGAGATACTAAGTTTAGATAGTCGTTTTTGGTGGCTAGGTGTTGGGGTAATTTGTCACACAGCTGTAAGTAACTAATACACTTCCTAAACACGCCCCCCCCACCCCGCACCGACTCCTCTACTCCTAAAATACACATTCCACCAGCAGCCAGGATGGATTATCTTTTCAGGAGATAACCAGATCACAGTACTCCTTTGATCAGAACCCTCTGAAGGCTTCATCTCTCTCAGAATAAAACCGAGTGTCTTTACTGTGACCTACAAAGTTCTGCACCATGTGGCCCTGGCCACCTTGCTGAGTCCATTTCCCAACTCTCCCCTGAGCCAGTCTGCTCCAGCCACAATGGCCTTTTGAACACAGCAGGCTTCTTCCCACCTCCAGGATTTTACATTTACTATTCCCTCTGCTCAGACTGCTCTTTCCATGACTCTTTACCTGCCTAGTTCCTTCTTATTTTTCAAGTTGCTGCTTAAAAAAGACTTTCTTTATCCACCAATCTAAAATAACTCACCTCATCCCTCTATTATTCAGCATCGCCTTTATCACTATTGCTGTATTGATTTAATCTCCTCCCATCCCCTGCCACTATAACATAAGCTCCATTCGTGCCCATCTTTTTAAAGTCTGATGCCTTTGCCTTTAACAATGTCTTACATGCAGTTGGCTTTCAATAGGGATTTGCTGAATGAGTGAAGAAAGGACTAAAATTTCCTGTCTTGGAAAAGGAGATGCTTTAGTACCTGCAAAACCAATAAACATATAAAAGTTAAAGTCTTGCTATCATGAAACTATTCAGAGGTTGAAAAGATGGTACTTCGCATTTTTATTGCTTCCAAATTGTGATACTCTTACTTCCCACCCCATGGTCAGGTAAAGGGGCGAGTATAACTATAATAGGACAGGAAAAGGATACCCTGGAAACTACAAACTGCAGCTCTTTTCCATCATCACTTAACGTCATATTTAGATTCACACAATAATTCCTCTAGGTTTCTTTATGCATTAAGTGCTAATACATTAAAGTGTTATGTGAATACAGCAGGTTCATGAGAATATTTAAAGCATAATTTGTCCCCAAAGAAAAAAAGGATGGGACAATGCCTAGAAAAGGGCCATGGTGAGGCTGAGAAAGTCCTAGAACATCATCATGTAATCATCAGTAATTGCCACCAAGCACCAAAATGTTTTGTTTGCATTGCTGGTTTGAACTTCAGTAAATAAGGCTGGAGAGAGATCTCACTTTCTCCTGTTTCAACTGTCAGGAGGAGAACCTTCCCATCAGAGGCAGAAAATGCCCTTAAACAAAATGTGTTCTTTTGTGGGGGAATCTTTATTAAAGCTCAAAGACAAATAATCTACAACTAGAACCACTGCCCTTTGGTGTTGCTTATCAAATAATAAGTGAGTGTCCATCTTATTGAGAATGGAAAGAATATAAAAACTGAAACGGTTTTTGAGCAAATCTCTCTGACAAATCCTCAAGGGCCCTACCAAGAAAGTAGTGATTCATCCTCCAAGCTCTCTGATTCTTGTCTCCCCCCTGTCCCATGATAACTAGGGGCAAGGTCTGATTAAATTCTGAATCCTGGCTGTGAAATCATGGTATCTTAAGGGAAGGTACACCCTTATGGGTTTATGGAGGTTCTTTCTTCTAAATAACTGAAGGTATAAATACATACATTATGTTCTCACCTTGAACTCATTTTTAACTCTTTCATGGAAACCACTCTTCCTAAGGTGATATTCATTTCTTTCAGAAGTTTGCATGCATGGGCGCTCAGTTTCTCGGTCATGTCTATCTCTTTGTGACCTCGTGGACTGTAGTCTGCCAGGCTCCTCTGTCTCTGGGACTTTCCAGGCAAGAATACTGGAGTGGGCTGCCATTTCCTTCTCCAGGGGATCTTCCTGACCCAGGGATTGAACCTGTGTCTTTACATCTCCTTTATTGGCAGGCAGATTCTTTACTACTGAGCCACCTGGGAAGTTTAAGCATCTGTATTTAGTTGAGAAAAGGCCAAATTGTTTTGCTTTCAAAATCCTAGTTCTCACATCTATCTTTCCCACTTATATTTAAACATCATCTTGAAACAGACTCTAAAACTGCCTATAGCTTTGGTAGGTATGGACCGAACAGAAGCAGAAGATATTAAGAAGAGGTGGCAAGAATACAAAAAAAATCTTCATGACTCAGATAACCACGATGGTGTGACCACTCACCTGGAGCCAGACAACTTGGAGTGAAAAGTCAAGTGGGCCTTAGGAAGCATCACTATGAACAAAGCGAGTGGAGGTGAGGGAATTTCAGTGGAACCATTTCAAATCCTAAAAGATGATGCTGTAAATGTGCTGCACTCAATATACCAGCAAATCTGGAAAACTCAGCAGTGGCCATAGGACTGGAAAAGGCCAGTTTTCATGCCAATCCCAAAGAAGGGCAATGCCAAAGAATGTTCAAACTATCACACAATTGCACTCATCTCACATGCTAGCAAAGTAACGCTCAAAATTCTCCAAGCCAAGCTTCAACAGTATGTGAACTGAGAACTTTCAGATGTTCAAGCTAAATTTAGAAAAGGCAGAGGAACCAGAGGTCAAATTGCCAACATCCGTTGGATCACAGTAAAAGCGACAGAATTCCAGAAAAACATCTACTTCTGCTTCATTGACTATTCTAAAGCCTTTGATTGTATGAATCACAAAAAACTGAAAAATTCTGAAAGAGATGGGGATACCAGACCACCTGACGTGCCTTCTGAGAAATCTGTATGTAGGTCAAGAAGAAATAGTTAGAACCAGACATGGAACAATGGACTGGTTCCAAATTGGGAAAGGAGTACATCAAAGCTGCATATTGTCTGTTTATTTAACTGATATGCAGAGTACATTATGTGAAATGCCAGGCTGGAGGAAGCACAAGCTGGAATCAAGACTGCCAGGAGAAATATCAATAACCTCAGATATGCAGATGACACCACCCTTATGGCAGAAAGCAAAGAGGAACTAAAGAGCCTCTTGATGACAGTGAAAGAGGAGAGTGAAAAGCCGGCTTAAAACTCAATATTCAAAAAACAAAGATTATGGCATCCAGTCCCAGCACGTCATGGCCAATAGATGGGGAAACAATGGAAACAGTGAAAGACTTTATTTTCTTGGGCTCCAAAATCACTGCAGATGGTGACTGCAGCCACAAAATTAAGATACTTGCTCCTTGGAAGAAAAGCTATAACAAACCTAGATAGTAAAATAAAATGCAGAGACATTACTTTGCCAACAAAGATCTGTAAAGTCAAAGCTATGATTTTTCCAGTAGTCATGAATGGATGTGAGAGCTGGACCATAAAGAAGGCTAAATGCTGAAGAATTGATGCTTTTTAGCTGTGGTATTGGAGAAGGCTCTTGAGAGTTCCTTGGGCTGTAAGGAGATCAAACCATCAATCCTAAAGAAAATCAATCCTGAATATTTATTAGAAGGACTGATGCTGAAGATGAGGCTCCAATACATTGGCCACCTGATGAGAAGAGCTGACTCATTAGGAAAGACCCTGATGCTGGGAAAGATTGAAGGCAGGAGGAGGAGACGGCAGAGGACAAGATGGTTGGATGGCACCACTGACTCAATGGACGTGAGTTTGAGCAAGCTTCAGGAAATGGTGAAGGGCAGGGAAGGCTGGCATGCTGTAGTCCATGTGGTCACAAAGAGTCAGACATGAATGAGTGGCTGAACAACACAATAACAACAGCTATGATAACTAATGAAGTCACTGAACTACAAGTTTCCCTATCCCCACCTCACCCCTGCCTTCAGTCACATTGCACATGAGACAGTCTTTTCCTTTTAAAGTTTTGATTTTCACAAAAAAAGTAGAGAGTTATAAACTACTGAGGCAACAAACCTGGTGAAAACCAAGAACAATTTTAGAATGACAGCCTGTTAAATGAACATTCATTAATTAAAATCAGTAACCCTAACTTCTAGGATGGACACTGAGCCATAAAACAACATCTGATTATTCCATACCAAAAGAATAATCTATAATCAGAGGTTATATTCACACAATCAATACTTTCTGCAAGCTGACAATGTGATGGAAATACACTTTGTACCTTTTCCACAATTCCATTCAATGTTACTTTTTGCTTTCCCTTCCTTCCCTCTGTTTATCTTCTAATCCAATAAAATATGTTATTGATGTTTTTGATGAACTATAATATTGTATTGTGATAAAGTGGAACCTGTGTTAAAAAAGGACACTTGTAGGTTCCATTGAAGGTCCAGCCTAGAATTCTAATGTTGAATTTTACATTAAATGAGTTGGTCCTTTCATTTCTATTTGAAACTTCCAAAGTGAAGCCTCATTGAACAGGAACCTGTGGTCAAGTCTGAAAATTCACTGTCTTTACCTTTGGCAAAAATGAAATGTAACGAAGCACTGTAAACTTGGAGAAAGGATGGCTTTTTAATAAAACAAACACATTAAAACCTCAACCCGGCACGGTAATTGCCTTTTATTCATGCACCGGCTGTTGCTATTTCTGAATCTGATATTTAAATAATCAAAGTGACCTAAACGGAATAAGGAAGCAGGCAGGAAGGGTGGGGGAAACGAGAACAGGAAGGTCAGCAGGAACATTTAGAGAACTCAGTGTCCCACTGACCTGGCTAGTGGGGAGTCATGGAGTATGAAACTGGCCCTTCCCGTTCCTCTTGTACAGATTAAATGCACGGAAGGGGGAAAGGCATCCTCTTGTAAGAGAGTATTTATTGATAGAACAGTCTGTATGTTGCACATTTTTAAGCAAGTAAAAGGGCATAGAGCAGTATGTACATTGGTCTCATTGTACAAAATACAGCAATACAACAAAAAAGCAAATATATGTGTGTGTTGTCATATGCATAGTCAGTAGGTCTGAGATAGACAAACTGAGTTATTCAAGACCCTTTGAAGCCTGGGGTGGGTGATGGGGCATCTGGGGGAGGATGGACTCTGATTTCAGTTCAGTTCAGTTTAGTCCAGTCGCTCAGTTGTGTCCAACTCTGCGACCCCATGGACCGCGGCATGCCAGGCCCCCCTGTCCATCACCGACTCCCGGAGTTTACCCAGACTTTATACATTTCCAGGAAGAATATGAAGGAAGGTGGGGGAAGAGTGTGCCAGGAGGAGGAGGAGCAGGAGGGCCTCTTGATTAGAGGTCATGGCGGTCACCACGTTTGGTTAAAACAGCCTGCCCCATGGCTTCACTGCCCATTGTCTCTGGGTTGCCTCACTCCCTTTGTCCACGTCTCTGATGATCTCACTAAGGAGGAAAGAGGAGAAAGTTGCGAAGTTCACATCTCCCTTTACAAGCTGACGTTCCTGCTGTCCCCTGTGTGTTGGCTTGGCAGAACACCAAGTGGTCCCAGGTGGGGTGGTTATTCCAGGAAAACCCCGTACGTCACACCCTGATTCTGGCATGGAACAAATGGTCTCTATGTTACAGAGCATAGAGGGGCTTAGGAGAAGAAAAAAATTTAAGAATCAAACCGGTATGCCAGTTTAAACAAATGCTTTATATAATGGCCAGAAATAGGACCACATTTTCTCTACAGAAGACAAATCCATTGTGTCACTCTTTTTTGGTCAAAAAAAGAAATAAGTGATATTTGAAAACAAAAGAATATTCTGGTGCTCTCTTCAAGACAGAGTCCTTGAACCACACTTCATCAAATTCCTTTTTAAAAAGAAGCACAGCCAACCGGAGTGCCAGACTGCTTGCCTTTTCACCTGGCATTGCTATAGGACTCCATCTATAACCCTTGGAGATCCAAAAGGAATTTTCCCTGATCTGAGTGGCAGAGACATCACACACGGAAGGATCGAGCGAAGATGAGGCTCAGGACAAAAGTAAGATGAGGAGGAGGGAGGCAGGCTGCACAATGATGCCTGCCAGATGCCATCTATAGACGGTACAACAGCACAGCAAGGCAGCTGTGACCACTTGTAAGTAACCCCCAGGACCAGTCCTTTACAGGGAGGGAAAAGACCTGCACGAAAGAGAAACTAAATGGTTAAGTTGCCCTGGAGAACAAAGACAGAAGCATGGGCTGATTTTTATGATGACAGATTTATTACTGTCTTGTTTTTCCTGGGAGAGCTGGATTTGTACTATCTGGATTCACAGGCACAGACTGAACCCCTGAAATTTATCAAGGGACTCAGGGCAAGAAAACGAAGGGCGACCTCCAAGACAAGCATCGGTTCAGAAACCTGCCTTTCTAGTGGACCTGGTGCTAGAAATCAAGGCGATTCACCCCCAAATAAGGAAAATCTCTAAGCAAACCTCAGTTCAATCTGTAAATGGGGTTTTTCTGCACAGTTCCATAAGAACAGAGGGCAGAGGTAGCTGAACAGAATAATTCAGGGAAGGGTATAGTGTGATACCTCAGGAAGGTAGGTAGGACCTTTGCAGGACACAGTGGAGGAGAGTGGGGGCTGATTTAAAGCACGCTGGTGTGCAAGTGTGAGCACGCGCTTGCGCGAGTGTGTGTGGGCTGGGCTCGGGGGTGGTGCTCGGCAGGGAAGGCTTCTCACCATTTCTCTTCCGAGTCTCCTCCTTTGTCACTTTCTGCTGTGCCATTACATTCTGGGGTGAGCGCCTCCCCGAGCTGGGCTTCCCTGATTCGTTGCTGATGACAGAGCCATTCTCACTGGGCGACCTGCTGGAAGTAACCATGGCAACAGGGAGACGGTAAGTTTCAACTGGAGCAGCCTCCTCTCAAGGTTATTTTATTTGCACAGTTTATGTCTATAGCCTTTCTTTCCGGTTTTATCCACTAAAAAGACATAATACAGGAAAAGGGGAAAAAAACAAACCTTGCACTGCAACACTATAGCTTAACACGATAGGGTTAAGCGGCTGGCTGTTGTAAAGTGCGCTTACCAGCGCTTAGCTCTGCAGAAAAGTTCAACCACTGCAGCCCTCTGTTCCCATCTCCTTTTCATTAACCCCCAGTGACTGCGGACATGGCAGTGATGGTGTTTGCACACTGTGCCCTCTTTTTAAAACATGACAATTTAGAGAGTGTTGCAGAGTGTTTGATTCACATGGCATCTTGAGGGACATGCATAAAACACGGTTCTCTTTGGCTGATTTCTTTACAGAATATACCTTGACTCCTAAAGATTAAGTCACTCCACCACTGAGTTCTCTCTCTCTCACACACAGATGCACACACATTCTTTGTGCTAACTGGTAACCACTTACATTTGAATCTATCAATTTGAGCTATCCATTCATTCAGAAATCCCTACTCTGTGCTGGGATCTGTGCCAGGTTACAGGCATACAGAAATATGAAGATACCACCCATGTTCTCCAAAAGCCCACCATGAGCACCTACTACGTGCCAAGGACTGTGCTGCGTGCTTTCAAACTGTTGTGCTATGTGTTCGGTCACTTCAGTCATGTCCAACTCTGCGACCCTATGGACCGTAGCCCTCCAGGCTCTTCTGTCCATGGGATTCTCCAGACAAGAATACTGGAGTGCATTGCCCTTTCCTTTCTCCAGGGGATCTTCCCGACCCGGGTTTCAAACCCCCGTCTCTTACGTCTCCTGCACTGGCAAGCAGGTTCTTTACCACTAGCGCCCACAGGGAAGCCCTTCAAACTGCTACTGCATCCTTATTGCAACCAACTGGCATGGTGACTGCAAGTCTTATTAGCAAGTGAGGAATGTGAATTTCAGGAGGCGAGGTGTTTTGTCCAGGGCAGAGTTGGGAAGTGGTGAGTCAGCCCTCGAAGGCAGAGCCCCTTCCCTTTCTGTCTTCTACAGTGTCCCAGATGAGGCAGGCCTTATACACAGCAAGCCACAGGGCCTTCCTGCCTCCCCTTGGGGCCATTCTCTGGCCCTCTGGAACCTATTGGGAAATGGACTCCTGGGACCCCCTGCTGAGGCTCACGCACCCCAGATCACACCAGCCTGTGGTGCGATGAGCTAAAGACCCACTGCCTTCCCCTCTGGGGGAGACAATTAGGGGGCAGCTATCCAGAGGCTCACCAAACCCCTTGTTCTTCTCTTGTCAATTGTACAAACTCAGAACCTACTGGCGCATGACCCTTACAATGGAAAACTGACTGGAATAAAATGCAGCCCCTGACCCGTAAGTAAGCCTCCTCCTTCCATTTCCCTCTTTTCCTCTGAGAATTTGGGATTCTCAGTCATGCACATTTCCATGCACTTCAGCACCCTAAAAACCATGCACAATGAAAGTGCCCATTCACTACTATGGGGGGAGGCAGAGTCGTCACGAGTGCACAGAACACACCCAGGGCCACAGGAGATGCTCTCTGCCAAGGATATGCAGACAAGCATGAGTCTGGGAGGAACCATTTACAATACTCCCTCTTTGGACATTCCGACAGCATGTCAGCACTTCAAAGGGTCCCATCAGTCTTGTCAGAAAGAGATCCACCTTGTTTTGTTTAATTCAGCACTTCTCTGTTTTTGTTTTGTTTTGTTTTGTTTTTTACCACAACCTCTTTCACCATAAAAGTAATACAACAAATGTAGTTTGGGAAATATGAATGAGGCACTAACTATGTGATCACTGAGTGCCATGTGTGCAAACACACACACGCTCTAGGATTGTTTTCAGAACCTCACAGTTAATGGCACCTACTCTCCCCACGACCCTGATGCTGGGCAAGATTGAAGGCTGTAGGAGAAGGGGATAGTAGGATGAGATGGTTGGATGGCATCACTGACTCAATGGACATGAGTTTGAGTAAACTCCAGAAGTTGGTGATGGACAGGGAGGCCTGGTGTGCTACAGTCCATGGGGTCGCAAAGAGTCAGACACAACTGAGCGACTGAACTGAACTGAACTCTTCCCATTGGTTTATTGGGACAAAGGGATTTTCACTGAGGTCCAGAAAGAAAAGCTCCTGGCAACTTGTTTTACGTGCACAAAATATTTAATGGTTTTTCTGAGGCATTTGCATGTCCCTTCCCTCATTTGATCTTGAAACAATTTTCTGGCTATTCCTCTCCCTCCAAGGAAAGCTATGAATGAGCACATTTCCGGGTGGGGTGGGATGGGAGCCCAACTCTGCTTTATTCTTTGCATCAGCTTATAGACTTCTGTTTACATGAAACCATCAACCCCATTCACAGTGCTACATGGCTTAGACAGTAGAGAGTCCATCTGAAATGCAGGAGACCCAGGTTTGTCAATTCCATGAATTTCTGATCCAAAATAGAGGGTGAGATGTGTGTGTGCATGTGTCCATAGGACAGGGACAAAAATGTCTTTAAATGGGTCACCAGAGAGGCTGCAATCTAAGGCTACTGAACTCAATGGTCCCCATTCTGAGTCTGGGTGGACACAGATCCTGAAGAACAATCATGGGGGTTGGGATTAAATCAACTGCTGAACAATCAGGACCAGTCCATGCACTGAAGTGCCCACTGCAAATGGCTGTCTCTATGAGGTCGATTCTCCATCCTTGCTCATAATTTCAGTCATGGACCAACAAAATAGCATTGGCAAAAGCCTACATAAGAAAAAGAACCTGAAACATCATCTGGTTGTCTGCACACAGCTAAATCTTCCATTTTCCTTCAGTTTTAAAACAATTTTGAAGAATGGAGATATCTTAAGATCACCAAATCATTGGTTTCCCCTATTTTTTTTTTAAAGATTTTTGTGTGTGTGGATCATTTTTAAGTCTTCTATTGAAGTTGTATAACACTGTTTCCATTTTCTATGTTTTGGGTTTTGGGGGGCTATGAGGCACGTGGGATCTTAGCTCCCAAGCTAGGGGTCGAACCTGCATCCCTTGCACTGGAAGGCATAGTCTGTTAACCACTGGACCACCAGAGAAGTCACTCCCTTATTCTTTACTTGCAAAACTTTTTGGACCATCTAACAGCCCCGTTTTGAAAGGTCACACGGTCCTGGTCCGGCAAGAATGAGGAGACTGATGTGGCAAGTTGGGGAAGACAGAAACATAGATGTATGATAGGCTTGTTCTTGGATTTAGCATCTTAAAATCTTCCTAAATGATCAGAGACTCCTGTGATCAGTTGAACTTAAACAGAGATGAGGTTTCTCCCAGTTTTGTCAATGATATAGCCAGCCCTTAGTAAAGTTATATTTGTAAACAAAATTATGAAGCAAATGGAAATATCATTTAACAGGGTCATTGTTTTCTTTATTTGTATTTGTTTCATAAGCTAGTACTTCTTAATAAAAATCTGAGGTTAAAGAATTTGAATCTGATTAGCAAGAGAAGACTCCTTGCAAATTGATGAAAAAAAGAGCTTATTCTAAAACCATTTTTTAAAAAGAAAGCTTTGCACAATTTAAACCACTCAACTAAAATGTGTGCAAAAGTTTCTATTCTTCCTGGCAGTGTAGCTATGTTAATATCCTAATTTTAGTAATTCTATTTATTTCTTTTCAGTGTCGTCCTAATAGGTGATAAAAAAATTATTAACATGCCTTTATTGTACTTGGCAAAGATCATAATGAGAATAATTACTATAGATAACACTACTGGCCAGCCAACTCCAATACATCATCCATTGCTTCTCTGTATGTTTCAACTCCAGGCTGAGGTGGACCATGGCATTTAAGGTCCCAATTTGTTCACACTTCCCTGTAACCAACTTAGGGTAGTCCCCTCCCACATTGACTCTTGTGTTTTGCTTTGGCCAATAGTAGTAAACATGATACAAGAAGAGACTTGAGGTTTGTTTGGGGCTTGTTTTCTTGCTTCCCTGGGAACTCTGTAACCATCTTGTCAAAAGCTAGAGCTAATCTATTGGAGGATTCAAGACCACATACCAAGAGGCCCCAGTTACCTGGCCGCCCCAGACAAGGCTGTCATCAACAAGCCAGCCCAGCAGACCTCCCACATGACTAAAGATGCATGAGACAGCCCAGCTGAGATCAGCCAAGCCAAGTTCAGACTAGAAGAACCACCCAGCTGAGCTCAGCCAAGACAGCTGATCCACCAAAAATTATGAGCTAAATAAATAGTTGCTGTTTTAGGCTGCTAAACTTTAGAGTGGTTTGTTATGGGGCAACAGATAATTAATCAACATGCCCTCCGCTTTCTTCCCCACACAAGCTGAAATCCAACCCTCTGTTTCTCTGTACTTCCTTTTTAGGTATCAAGATCTCCTGGAGAAAAGCACGGAGACTTTATGCTTGACTCCAATGCAAAATTTGTAAATTTGATACAAACAATCCTTTCTTCCTCCTGAAATAACTTCATTCTCTAGGCTTCCTGGATTCCATTTTTGCTTTGTTCTCCTCATGCCTTTCCTATGGATGCTTTTCAGAATCTTTTGCCAATTCATTTTCATTATCTGGGTCTCTAATCACTGCCACGTCCCAGGCATAAGTTCTTAGATTTCTTCTCCATCTATACTCTCCAAGGTGCCCATCTAGCCTCAGAGATTTTTGTAACTAAACACTGATAGCTCCTACATTTTTATTTAGACTTTTGACCTCTCCTCTGAACTCCAGACTCATGTGGTTAACCGAGCTCTCAATGTCTCCACTTGCATGTCTCATGGGCACCTCAAACTTAACATGTCCACATCCAAACTCTACAAACTTCTCCTCCAGTCTTCCCCAGCACAAAAATGGCAAATTCATCCCTCTCGATTCCCATCAGTTCAGTTCAGTTGCTCAGTCGTGATGCCATCCAGCCATCTTATCCTTTGTCGTCCCCTTCTCCTCCTGCCCCCAATTCCTCCCAGCATCAGGGTCTTTTCCAATGAGTCAGCTCTTCATATGAGGTGGCCAAAGTATTGTAGTTTCAGCTTTAGCATCAGTCCCTCCAATGAACACCCAGGACCGATCTCCTTTAGGATGGCCTGGTTGGATCTTCTTGTGGTCCAAGGGACTCTCAAGAGCCTTCTCCAACACCACAGTTCAAAAGCATCAATTCTTCTGCACTCAGCTTCTTCACAGTCCAACTCTCACATCCATACGTGACCATTACCACACAATAATTTATCAGCAAATCTTGTCAGCTCTTCCTTGTAAACACCTCTAGAGCCTAATCACTTCCCACCCCTCCATGTCCTGGTACACCACCATCTCTCACCTGGACTCCTACAAAAGCCTCCTAATGGGTCTCTCTGCTTCTCTACAGTCTATTTCCACACAGCAGCCAAAGTGAGCCTTTAAAATGCAAGTCACATCCTGTCGTTGCTCTCAAAACCCTCTTCTAATGAGTCCTGATCTTCATCCACAATAAAACCCCAAGTTCTGACTTTGATTTATAAAGCCTGACAAGATCAACCACCATTAGTCTCTCTGACTCAGCTGCTACAAACTTCCTCCCTAGCTCACATCAGCCTCTTTGGCCTTCATGTTCTTCCTTAAGCAAGTCAAGACATTTCCTCCTTCGGGCTTTGCACATACTGTTCCATCTGCTTGGGATGTTCTTCCACTAGATAACCTTACACATCATTTCAATAAAGTCTTTCTCACATGTCACTTTATCAGTGAAGCCTTCCCCAACTTCTTGCTAAAACAGCACCATATTCCCCTTTCCACATCTCCAATCCCTTATCGTGCTTTGGTTTTCTTCTGTATCACCTCCCAACCTACTATATTTTTATCTCTCTGGTTATTGTCTATCTCTCCCTCATCAAACTGTAAGCACTACGGGAGTATGAACTTTGTCTTGTTCATTGCAGTATCCTTTGTGCCTAGTTAACAGCAAACAATTGATAAATATCTGTTACCTGAAAGGAGAGAAGGAGGCAAACAGGATGTAGTTTTTCCAGACACTATTGTGGTCCCAGGCAAGAAAGAAAGAGGTTGGCAATGGGAGTTGGTTAGCCAGGCAACAGAGTTGGCCATAGAGTTCATTACCTCTTTGTGAGGCTATTGCAAAGTCCAAACAAGTGTCCTGGCCTCTAGCCTAACCTGTCCCATCTATCATCCACAATGCACTGGAGTAGTCTCTCTGAGATACAGGTTGGGCATCACTGTCTTCCTGAAGAACGCTCAGTGGCTTAATACTGCCTAGAGATAAAGGTCAAACTCCTCGGTCTGGCAGTTAGGAATCTCCACAGTTTTCATCTATCTTCTGGTTTCATCTTTCACTGCATCTTAAGCACTCTGAACTCTAAACCCCAAGGACATTCATCATAAGTAATCACTGCTGTCTCCTGGTTCTTCCAGCCTGGATGCCTTTATCTTTTCCCCGCCATAGACATCCTACTTGTCCTTCAAGGCTTGGTTAAAACATAACCTCTTCCATGACACTTTCCCACATTAGAATTAAATTCTTCCTTCTCTCTTTTCCCCAGGACATGGTTTAGACTCCACAGTAGACACCTGCCCATCAGGCTTGGCATTCCAACGATTTATTTCTATCTTTCCAACAGGAGATGCTTGAGGTCAGGAATCAATCTTAAACCTTTCTGTAGTCATCCCAGTGCCTGTCAAAGTGCCCTGCTCATAGTAAAAGCCCAATAACTTGTTTGTGAACTAAAACCATAAGCTCTATAGAGAAACTGCCAGATAAAATACAACTATCCTGAACCAAAGGCACTGCGTTTAAGATAAATTAAAAAATATAAGTGTAACATCAGTGCCAAATTTGTTATAATAAATCTAACGAGAAAACCTCAACCGTTGCAGTTGATTAGACATCTAAAACGTTACAACGGATGGCTCATGAGAAGCAGGAATTATGATTCCTATCCTCTTCCTTAGTCTCCTCAAATATTCAGAACAAGCATGAAGGGGAATTTTTAAAGAGAAGAGAGGAATTGAGGGCTTCAGCTCTTCTCCCCATCAATTATTTCTCTTGCTGACACAGAGAGGCAGAATCTGGCCCCATGCCTACCTCTTTCTGGTTTCGATGGATTTGGCCGTCTTGATGGTGCTTCCATCCTGAGGGGCATCCCTTTCCTGAGAGGCAGGAGCATCTCTAACGGGCAGTGGGAGGACCACCGTTTCCTGAGTCACCGGGATGACCTCCTCGTCCGCCCCTTGCTGGCCCAGGTGCTGCTTGGCATAATCAAAGCCCTGCACAGGCTGCAAAAAGGAAACAGATTTGCAGTCATGTTTCTGGCAAAGTGTGATACTCATAGCAGCTTTAAGAGAAGACAGGTGGGAAAGTGCACATGATGGGACCGTACTTAGCTTTCCGATGAACAAGAGTTAATTCAAATCTCCATCCTAATTTCTGTCTCTATGAAATCAAAGTCCACATTAATTCCACCTAGCTACAGAACCTCTATAGAGAAGACTCAGAAAAATGAATAGTATAAACAAGATGCAAAAATGTTTATGAGAACAACTTCTTTCAAGGATTTTAGACCACTTATTCTAAGTCACTGGATACTGCTAATTAGAAGCTCTTAATTGCTACATTAAACAGGTCCTGCCTCTTCTACATAAGAATAGTTCTGTCATCCCTTAAGTCCTGTGAAATAACAGGTTGTGTGACTTTGCCAAGTCATTGAAATCTGAACCTCAATGTTTTCATCTGAGAAATGAAGATAATCATATCTGTTCTACCTCCACCACCCTGGAGTGTTAGAGAGAATCTCAGATCTAAAAACAAAAAAAGGAAAAACATGCTACCACATGTGAGGCAGTATAATTATTAATAATAAAATGGAATTTATGGAATCACTCTCTAATCCAGACCATTCCCTTTAGCAGGCTAGCTCGCCTCTCATTTCTCATGACTGAGAAATTAGCAAGGTTTTTATTGCAGTGTCTGAAATCCCAAGTGAATAGGGCAGCTGTGAGCAAAACCCAACAGACATGTATTAGTGGGGTAATAAAAAACCAAGAAGCATGTTTAAACAATTCCTGTGAGTGTCTCTATTCTGTTCTATGCCCCAAAGCAGCACAACAGGGATTTGAGACAGGACAATGGGGTGGCTAGGAGCAGCAGCTCTGAAAACAGATAGCCGGGGTTCAAATCCTCTCTCTGAGACATATTAGTTGTGTGACCTTGGGTAAGTGACTGAAATTCTCTGTGCCTGTTTCCTCATCTGTAACATGGAGAGAACACAGTGTGAGCAGGACCAAACATGGTGACATGTGACCAAACATGTCGGTGACAGTGATATTTAACCACCCTCAAAGGGATGCCACATAGATTAGATAAGTAAATTCAAGCCCAGCATTTAGCTAAGTACCTGACCCATAGTATGTGCTCAATCAGTATTTGTTCAAATTGTTTTCCTGCCTACTAAATTACTGGCCAGGTAAAACGGACATCAGCAATTCTCTTTAAGAAAATTTGGGGTGAAACTTAACCTCTATCATTTGGGTTCTATCAGAACTTGGTATGATCAGACATTCCTTTTTTAGCACCTTACTTAGTCAAGAACTGTAACAGGAAGGCCAGATTAAATGGTCTAAGACCATGGCCTAACCCATCATATCGTGTCTCAGAATAGGGGGGATTTTATTGCTAAGTCCAGAAAAGCTTCCTTTTTCAAGCTGTCTGTAGTATAGCCAAGGGCTTCTCCAGTGGCTCAGCAGTAAAGAACCGCCTGCAATGCAGGAGACACAGGAGACGCGGGTTCAATCCCTGGATGGGGAAGATCCCTTGGAGGAAGACATGGCAACCCATGACTTGCTAGAATACTGACTCACCTGCTTCTCCTATGAACAACTAATCACCAGTTGAATTCAACTGAAATGTTTCTGGAAATTGACCTCTTCTCTCCAGGTCCACTGCTGTACTGGCCCTGCCATGGTCTTGTAATTTCCATTTTGCTCCTTTCCAGACCCATCCTTGACAATCCTCCAAAGTTATCTCCCTTAGAAATCCATCAGGTCATTAAAAACTCTCCCTGGCACCCAAACTCTTTGGCAAGGCATTCAAAACCCTTAATTCTGTGTGAGCCCATGTGTCCGGTCTCATCTCCTATTGGTCCCTTTTCTGCTCCACTCTCATCCTCCCATTATCCTGTTCAGTTTTGTTCCAACTCTAGGATGGGGCATTGGCTTGTGTCAGGGACTGTGCTTGATGCTGGAAATATAAAGATCAATAATAACTGGCTTCCCTACCCTCAAGAAGCTCAGTTTCTGTTTCACTTGATATTGTTGGTACAACACTGAATACATTACATAAATTATGTCATTTCATCCTCACTGTAGCCCAAGGAGGTAGGTGTTGGTATGGTTCTCCATTTTAAAGATGAAGAAACTGAGGTTCAGAGAGGTTCATCAGTTTCCCCAGGCTCACACAGCTGGTCTATGGTAGAGCCAGGATATGAATCCAGGACCATAGGAGACAGAGCCAGAACAGCCAGCCACTGCTTGATGATTCATCCCACCGCCTCTTCTTTCTTTCTGCAGCCTGCCACCTAGGTTGGGCATCTCCCATCACACTTCGCCTGGCTCCTGTTTCCAGTCTCCTGGCCTGTGTGTGAGCTATTGGCAGTATGCAGCAGCAGCTAAGAACCTAGTGAGGAGGACAAGCTGGTGCTGGCTTGTCCCTCTCATTCCCCCCTTCTGTGGCTCCTCACCCTTCACACTACACTGGATACTTCAGGGGACTGAGCTGATGATGGGTGACCAGAAGGACATTAAGGAATGACAGGCTTCAGACGTGGCCTTTGTTATTAAGTTAACAAGAATCCCTGTACATGTTCAGTACTTACAGCCTGCAAGACACTGATAACCTCATTTCATTCTCACAACAACCCCATGGGGAAAACTGGGCACAGTCTTCACTTTATGGGTAAGAAAACAAAAGCTCAGAGAGGTTCAGTGACTTGCCCAAGACCACACAGCTAATGGTGAAAGACTCAAGACTTGTACCCTGCTCTTCTGACTGACAGAATAGCAGTCTTTCAACCTCTAACTTGAAACACCTGAGATTAACTAACTGCCCACTGGACACACACTAGGAACCCCTAACACCGCTAATGCAACATCATGAAACATTTATAGTTGTTTTAATGAGTTTTGTAAAAGTTTCAAATCAAAATAATCCCCAACAATTTCAAAGGTAGACATGTTACCCGGATTTTTTTAAGAAACATGTGTAATAATAAAGATCAACTTACCTATAATGTTTATTCTGTACAAGGCATATTCAAAGTAATTCACATAACTCAATCCTCACAACAAAGTGTACGTGAACACTGTTATCACCCCCAATTCACAGATGGGGAAAACTGAGGCACATAAATAGTATGTGAGAAAAGAACAGGGCATCTTTAGGGGGTGACTGAGCCATCCTGAGCAGGGCATGCCAACCCTCCAAGCTCCATTCTGCTTTAACAACTTTCTCTTCAGGTTGCCTGTTCCAAGGGGCCATGTCCTCTTCAGTTATAGGAAGGGAAAATCTGGGGAAAGGCTGTGAAGCCAATGACAAAGAGGAAGCAAAAGTGAACGAGGCAGGAAGGAGGCGACAAAGGCATGACACCCCACTCTCCTCCGTGTTGATCGTTTTTTAACCTTCTGCCTGCGTCCGGCTGACAGCAGTGGTAACAGGGTTACATCTGTGGTATGATGCCTTGTCTCTGCAGAAGGGGGCAGGCAGGTACGGCCTGATCTCGGCTCTGAGACAGCCACACTCACCTCCTCTGAGCCTGCTGGGTCTACTAGTGAGGCTCAGCAAAGGTCCCCAGCCGTGTCCTCTGGCTCCGCGGCCAACATCCTTACAGATGCAGTGGTGTCCCTGGAGACTAGGAGACCAGCCTCCCCGTCTCTGGGTTGGTGGCAATAGCTAACTTTCTCTTCCCGCCTCATCCCTTGGCACTAAATGGATTCTGCTCACACACTCAGGTTGTGAGAAGTGACGCAGGCGGCTCGCTCCTCTGGCAAACACTGCAGTGTCCCCGGGTTGCACCAGGAAAAGGAGTGCGGTAAGAAAGAGGCAGTTCCGCCCCACTGGTTTTCCGTGACAACAGGGCTTTGGAAATCAAAGTGCGTAGCCTAGCCTCACTGAGGGAGAGAACAACCACTGCCACCCCCACGAGTGAACTCACGGTTCAGTCATCTCACGGAACATAAATTTGCTTGATTTTCCACAGCAGCTGGGTATCTCTTGAAGCACAGTGTGCCGGGCAAGGACATAAAAGGGGCTATGAAAACTCACAAACATGAATCTGTTCCAGCCTCAGACAGCTTTCCAGCCAGGGGATATGCTGAAATCACGTGCTGCCCAGCTCATCTCAGCAAATTAATAAAATTTTGTCTTCATCAATCACATGAAGATGGCATTTACAACCTCAGTATGGCATGCTTTGCATTCCTGGACTTGGCTGCAATTAGATTCTAGTAATTACTGTTATGTCTGAAAGGCTCAGATTGTAACTGAGCTAAGATGGAAATGAAATACCCCTTCTTGGAATAGTGTCGTTTTTCACTGCTTGGGTAATTACCAACATCATGCCGTGTCCTGGCAGCAGGTAGCTTTGTGTCAACAGACACAGAATGACATTCTTTGGGGTTGGGCCCTTCGCTAGACACAGTGTCTCAGCAAGCTGCAGCTTCTCAACAGGTGACTCGGTTTAATAAACAACCAAATTCACTTGATTTCTTTTGTTGAAGCGAGGTATGGTCATCCAGGAAGAACTAGGCATGCGTGACTCCCAGCAAGGACAACCACCATGTCATGCGGTCCAATTGATGTGAAATTCCATTCTCTGTTTCATTTTTGCCCAGAGAATTAGGCAGAACAAGCGCAGAGGTTAGGGGCTGGAGGAGGGTTCTACCCACCAAGTCTCAGGGTTTAGGATGGTGTATAATGTAGACAAAGCCCAAAGACTCAGGTATGGAGTGCCCCCCTCTGCTGTGGATAAGTCCCACTGTCTCTCATTCTTTTGAGTTTTTCTGCAGTAAAATGAAAATAATAAGAGCTGCCCTGACTATGACCTACCTCATAGGACTACTGTGATGAGCAAACAACATGACAGACCTGGAAGAGCCCAGGATATTGTAAGACATTATTTAAACATTATATGATAATCTGGGTAGTAGAGGTTATTATATTCCTTTTGGGGACTATGGTGAAGGGAGCTACGTGACCGGAAAACTTGTTATTGTTGAGTTGCTCAGTCATGTCTGACTCTTTGTGACCCCATGGACTATACAGCCTGATAGGCTCCTCTGTCCATGGGATTTCCCAAGCAAGAATACTAGAGTAGGTTGTCATTTCCTGACCCAGGGATCAAACCCGGGTCTCCTGCCCTGGAGGTGGATTTATTACCGCTGAGCTGCCAGAGAAGTCCGACTGGAAAATTAGCCTTTGGAATTCCCTCAGTGTGCCCCTCTCCCAGTCACTGGAGGGGGATGGTGCAGCCTCAGGGAGGCTGTGGATGGTGGATGGCGCCCCCGGCTAGCCTTCAGTGGAGCCACTGAACTGGGGTTTGATAGCCGCCCAGCCAAGGCTCTGCAGCTTGGTCATCATGCAGCCTTTTTTTTTTTTAATTATTTATTTGACTGTCTTAGTTGCAGCCAAGTCTTAGTTGCAGCATTCGGGATCTAGTTACCTGACCGGGAATATAACCTGGACCCCCTGCATTGGGGGTATGAACTCTTAGCCACTGGACCACCAGGGAAGTCCCCATCATGTAGCCGTTGAAGATCAGCCACTCTGGCCAGAGGAAGAAGGAAGGTTTTGAGGGTCTGATGTGCCCCCAAAGAGCCTTGAGTTAGGAGCCAAGACACCTGGTTCTACCATCAGTTCTGCTACTTACTCACTGTGCCATCGTGAAAAAGTCAGTTCTCTGTAAAAGGGAAGGTGTCAGAACAGATGAGCTCTGAGACCCCTTTCAAGTCTATCTAACTCCTCATTTTCTGTGCCTCTGTTTCCTCCTCTGTAAAATAATGTTCTTCCTCAAAGGGCTGCTACGAAGAGTAGGTGAGCTGGTGCCTGCAAAGCCCTGAGAAGCACTTAGAGTAGAGAGTTATTGTGTCCTGATTATAAAAATGAAGGTCTGCAGAGCAATGCAAATATCCTTAACAATACTGAGCTGCACACTTCAAAAGGGCTAAAATGGTACACTTTATGTTATGTATATTTTACCACAAGTTTTTAAACATTCAGATAAGTAACAGAAGGGTCTCCTTCAACATGAGGACTAAAGAGGTTTCCGAAGGTACTTGCAACGTCCTGAATGGCCAAAAGGCAGGCAAAGTCCCCCCGGGCCAGGGTTCCTACCCCTCTCCTCTCGGCTTCCGACACGTACCTTTGCTCGCTGAGGCAGGTTCATCACGGTGTCTGGCTTGAAGTCGTTCTTGTTCTTGCGGCAGAGCACGGCAGTGATGATGATGATGATGACGGTAACCACGGCGATGGGCGCCAGCACCGCGGCGATGATCCACAGGTTGTTGGGTGGGTTCTTCACCACGGCTGCGGGGTTGGGGGGGGAGCACGTGACCAGGAGCCCAGGGAAGCGAAAACAGCCCTGAGATAAGGGTCCCCCAGTCCCCAGTCATGAGGTGGTTGAGAGGCTTTGGGCTCAGAAGGGCTCTTGCCTTGACACGTTACTCCAGGTCTCTGAGTCTCAGTGTCCCCATCTGTAAAATAGGGCTATCCTGTGGCGAGGCATCAGAGAGACAAGGTACATGTGGTGTCTGGTGTAGCCCCTAGGAGGTGCTCAATGAATGAAAGTCTTTACAAGGACTAGGAGGAGGAAGAGGAAGATGGATGAGGATCAATTTTCCCCACTGGTGATGTCCATGAATCAGAAGAGAGAACTCTGAGGATCAGTGCGTTGCTTCAATCAGGAGGCAAAGGTCACAGAGAGATGACTCAAAATATTGTAGTGAAGTCGCCTTCTGAGTGACCAATGAATAAAATATACCTGAGTGGACGGATCTGCTCCCATCCTGCCATGGTAGGCTGGGGATGCTTGGAAATGCCATGCTCTAATCAATACCATGTCCGATTAGACACGGGTAATCTGGCCAGACAGTAGGAAAGGTGGTGGGCAAGATGGCTGCAACTGGTTGTTTTAGCTTGTGATACTGTCTGCTAATAACACACAAGTTCTCGTCTCTCCCACTCCCTGCATGATCTCATAGACTTGTGGCATTAAACACCATCTGTGCAAATGATGCTCATTTACACAGCTCTAACTAGGACCCCCTACCCCAAACTCCAGATTCCTATATTCAACTGCCAACTCAAATCTCCAACTGGATACATAAGAGAGGTCTCAACTCTTAATCTCTCACTCGCTAAAACCTGTTCTTGTGATATCCTCTACTCCAATAAGTGGTAACCTTCCAGCTGCTCAGGCCAATAACTGTCATCAATGTCAACCTGTTTCTTTTATTCTCTCCCAACATCCGATTTGACAACAAACTCTGTCATCCCCATCTTCAAAATATATTACTTCTTTCTATTGCTATGGTCCAACCTATCAACATGTCTCACCTGAACTACTGCGATGGTCTCCTTCCTTGTTCTCTATAGTCTATTTGTAACACAGAAGCTGGAGTGATCCTTTGAAAGTTCAGATCACAACATTCTTCTGCTCAAACCCTGCAGAGGCTCCAACCCCACTCAGAGTAAGAGCCACAGTATAATTGCTACAAGACTTTAAGTGAACTGTTCCAACCATGTTAGTTACTTCTCTGCTCTTATAGCTCTTCCTTCAACTCACTCTGTTCCAGCCTACCTTCCTCCGACTGTTCCTCAAACATGCTGGACATGCTTCTGCCTCAGGGCCTGGCCTTTACACCAGCTTATTCTTCTACCTAGAACACTCTTCACCTAGATATCCACATGACTCTCTCCCTCCTTCCTTCAGGGCTCTGAATAAGTGTCACTATATCTGTGAGGCTTTCCCTGTATTCTTTGTAAAATAACAATCCCTGCCCCAAGCACTCTCCATCCCCCTTTTCCTACTTAGCTTTCCTTTAAATCAGTGCTTCTCAAACTGTAAAGTGAAAGTGTTAAAGTGAGTCATTCATTCATGTCTGACTCTTTGTGATGCCATGGACTGTAGAGTCCATGGTATTCTCCAGGCCAGAATACTGGAGTGGGTAGCCATTTCCTTCTCCAGGCGATCTTCCCAACCCAGGGATCGAACCCAGGTCTCCCTCATTGCAGGGAGATTCTTTACCAGCTGAGCCAGTAAGGAAGCCCAAGAACACTGGAGTGGGCAGCTTATCCCTTCTCCAGCAGATCTTCCTGACCCAGGAATCGAACCGGGGTCTTCTGCATTGCAGGCGGATTCTTTACCAGCTGAGCTTTCAGGGAAGCCCCTCAAACTAAAGTGCAGGCCAATCACCTGGGAATCTTGCTCAATGTGGATTCTAATTTTGTGGATTGGGATGGGCCCAGCTCTAATAGGTTCTTTGCGACACCAGTCCACCATCTTCTCTGTCTACTGGCTGTCTGAATAAAGTCACTATTCCTTGCCTCAACAACTTGTGTCTCAATTTGTGGCCTGACATGTGGTGAGTAATATGAGCCTGGGCTTGGTAACATGCCTAATAAGCTCCCAGTAGATACCCATGCAGCAGGGCCCCGGGCCATACTTGGAGTGGTGAGACTCTAAAGTATATGTTACCATCTGCTATGATACATACGTATTTGCTCACCATCTGGCACCCCCTGCCCCTAGTTTAGCATGTATACCCTAACAGAGCAGGGCGGTTTATTTTTTGTCTCTTGTTTGCTGCATCCCCAGGGCTAGAACAGGGCCTTGCACACAGTAGTGAAAAGTGAAAGTAAAAGTTGCTCAGTCGTGTCCAGCTCTTTGCAACCCCATGGACTACAGAGTCCATGGAATTCACCAGGTCAGAATACTGGAGTGGGTAGCCTTTCTCTGCTCCAGGGGATCTTCCCAACCCAGGGACTGAACCAGGGTCTCCTGCATCGCAGGTGGATTCTTTACCAGCTGAGCTACAAGGGAAGCCCAAGAATACTGGAGTGGGTAGCCTATCCCTTCTCCAGCGGATCTTCCCAACTCAGGAATCGAACCGGGGTCTCCTGCATTGCAGGCGGATTCTTTACCAGCTGAGCTATCAGGAAAGCCCCTGCACATAGTAGGTACTCAATTAAAAGTTGAATGAATGTATAACTAAACTATCATTATTCCTGTTGCAATTTAGCTCCCCATACAGGTTTCCACAAAGGATAGAGTAAAAGCCATTTAAGGGAGAAGTCCCCTTCTTGGTAGCTCCAATCCATGAAACTGTGCTGTGTGTGTGCTAAGTTGCTTCAGTCGTGTCTCACTTTTGGTGACCTCGCCAGGCTCCTCTGTCCATGGAATTCTCCAGGTTAGAATACTGGAGTGGGTTGCCATTTCCTTCTCCAAGTTCCAATCCACATTTTAAATTAAATACTTTCAATCTGGTTTATATATCACTCTCTTATAAGTCTGGTGAGCATAAGTTGGTACTCCTGATCCTGTTTAATTCTGGGGGCTACTAAACTCACAAAACTGAGGACTCAAGTCTGGAGTACAAAGACGCCCACCAGTGAGCATCACATGGTGAGGACCTGCCCGAGGAGCCAGCTGGTCTTTCTCTGACACCAACCACCCCCTGACTTTCACTGGCACCTCATTAGCCAAGATTTACCTCTCCTCAGGCAGCACTTGACTCAGGAGTGCTATTAGTACAAAATAACTTCTTTTCCACAGTTTTTGTCAATCGGTGATTAATCACATTATTAACTTCTGAAAACAGCTCATTAGATAATGTGCTTCTATTGACATTAAACATGTAATTGCTGCTGCTTTTAGTAATTCAGTATTTCTATGTAAGTTTTAGGCCATTAACATTTTTTAAAGCTTAATGCTTCTGTGAAAAATATCAATTTTGGCTATTCTATCCTGATGGGGGAAAATGTATAGTATATCAGAACATGACAGCCTAAATATATTTATATGTATTTTTTTCATTAGCAAGAATGAAATATTAACATGTGTTCAGCTTTTACTCAGCCTTATTGTTTTGATGGATGTGTGCCTTCTTGATGCAGTATGGAAAATCCTTTCACCTTTACTTAAATGAGGAGAGAATAAAGGTATGCTATGTACATTAATAAAATTCATTTAACGGTCAAAGCGATAGTAAAGTTAGGTCAACTGAAGTCATCCAAACCCAATATATTCATTGGCATAATGATCTAAAACTACAAAGTCATGTACAGAGGTGAAAAGGAACAAATGGCTATTTAATTTGCAAGAACGTCAGAGGAAGGATAGGAAAATGAGACAACATGTTCTGAGCTTCTACTGTGCATTAGGCACTGGGATACACCCTTTGTCAGGCTTTTACTCTCATACCCATTTTGCAGATGAAGAAACTGAGCCCCAGGGAGGTTAGATTATGGGTTTTTTTTTTTTAACCAAAAAAAGTCATTTCTCTGAAATATACAATTTAAGTCAGCTCTGAGTTAGTGCATATGAATGGGAGTGTGTGCATGTGAGCATGCATGTATGAGTGCACACACAACAAAGTATTGGTCAGAGCGAACGAAGTCAAAGGGGCCCTATAATCTGAACTCAGAAAGAATTACTCTCATGTACAGCAAATGGTGAAAGGAGAAGGAATCCATTCAAAAAAGTTCTCAGCTTGTCTTCATGACTCTCAAAACATGAGAAATCATGATTGGTATGAGTAGACACAGGGGAGGGTCTAACCTAGACCCCCGAAGCTGGTGACAGCTCAGGTCCATCACGCCCCTGCCCACACACTCTTGCAGCATGGTGGCCCCGCTGCTGCACCTGTGACTCATGGTTGCTGCTCTCTTCCCTCAGGGACCTCCTCGCTGGCTCTCAAACCCCACCCCTTCTCTGCCTGGAACCTTCTCCCCAGGTATCCTCAAGAAGCAACTCAAAGGTTGCTTCCTCAATATCTTCTTCACACCCCCAAACAATTTAAAATTGCAACCATTATCTCCTTGGCATCCTTCAGTCTCTTCCCTGCTTAATTTTTCTCCATGGTACTTACTAGCATATAACATATTATTCAGTTATTTTGTCTGCTTAATCTGCCCACTTAGGAATATAAGATCCATGTGGGCACAGTGTTTGCCTGCATGGCTCACAGCTGTATCTCCAGGGCCTAGAACAGTGCCAGACATATACCAGGTGCTCAAGGAATATTTGTTGAAAGAATGAGAGTTCCCTCTACTGAAGGGCCAGTCTATATAGCTTTCTTTAAGTGATATTTTTTGAGATCAATGTCTGACGGCCACATAAGGGAAACCAATTCCTGTCCTGGTCTGCTTGTGTATGGGGAGAATTGTCCCCACTCCATCAGCTGGATAAACTCTCTGAGGGGCCCCTCACTCCAGATCCTGCAAAGGGAGCAGATGAAAACCTCCATCTGGAAGGCAGCCACTTCTTTAGAAGTCACTGCTGCCCCATTACTCAGAGATGACGTGGG